ACAAAGAGTCTCAAAAGTCGCCTCAAACCATGAAACTCACCGTAATGATGCGGAGAAGAGTGATAGTTAATAGATGACAGCGTGACGCCAGACAGCAGTGCAGTGGCTGCTCTGACGCTATCTGCCCCGGTGCTGACTTTCAGTGAAGTCAGTTAAACCAATTTTGAACCAGGTGGTGGTACAACCTTCTCCACTGCCATCCACTGTAATTGACTCTTCAGCTGACAGCGCTGCAGCAGCCCACTAGGCTCACTTATAAGTGAACTATGAGCAGGACACACACTTTTACTTTCTCTGTGTGGACACAGAGAAACCACAGATGACAGAGAACAGCATTAAAACGTCAGGTTGTCTAAAACATGAGACTTGTGTAGCCAGGTCTTTGTAAAAGATGAAAGTCATTCACAACCCTACCTATAATGAAAAACTAGATGAATTATTTAACCAGACAGATTGTTTTATACACAGGAGACACATGTAATTAAAATCTAAAATTATCAAAACTCAACAGATTTAACAGCTTGTTTTTTAAAAAAATAAAATAAAAACTCATGAAGGTGATAACACATGATAAAGAAGCTCCTCCTCTACTAAAAATAAAACTGCCCACATCTATTATAATAGGACACTATAATCAATCTTGCTAAAGTTACACATTAATGGACATTTTTTGCTTTACAAACCCAGTGTTTTTGTAGCCATATTGTTTGTCCTCTAATAAAGGAGGTATTGAAAGATGATGTATTGAAAATGCATTGATGCACATTATTTTACTTTCCTTGGTCTTGTGCTGCCATGTAGTGTTCTTTCAGGAAATAGGCTCTGAACATGCACATGATGCACTGTAGGAGGGCCTCTGCGCATGGCCAAATGTACAAACGAACCACTTGTTTGAGCCTCATTTAGCAATGCTCTGCGCTTCCCTAATAGATCTCAGTTATACATAGTTGCAGTTTCTAGTTTCCTGATTGTTTCTCCTAAAAAGATTTGAGTCTAACATAAAATGATTTGTATGTTGATTGGGTCTGTTTATGTGTGTGTTCAGGAGACTCGCAGCCAATGGATGTGTGCTCGGTTCACCACAACAACACCTTCCTGCGATACTCTGTTTCCCTACTTGGATACGGTTTCTACGGCGATGTGCTAACTGACAGTGAGAGGAAGAGATGGATGGGACCAGCCAGATACGACCTCTCAGGTTGGAATACACCATGTGTTGAGAAGTTATCACTGGAAATCTGTAATGTTAGTTACAATGATGGGAATTGAACCACCTGCTGCTGTTGTTTATTAGTTACTGGAAGTCCCTGTAGACTAAACACAGAAAACAGCTCAACAACTTTTCCATCATCAGAAAAACAAAAGAGTCATGGATTAGTACCGATATAAACAGAAGCACTGAGGCAGATCACCAGAAACACCAGACTCCATCAATGTGTAGGTTTATTTTCTGAAAGGGTGAGGCAGGCAAAGTATTAAGTCAAAAATAAATATTTTAGAAAAACCTGAAGCTTTAAAACTATATCAGTGTAATAAGTAACAAATTCTGATGAGATGCATTATTATAGAGTTGGAAATGACAATAATTAAGCTATTTTAATAACAAAATTATTAGAAGAGACTGATTGATGTAGGCCTGTTACATTATTATATGAGGGATAATGCCTGACAAGGTGTTCGTCACCAAATCTACTGAAAATCCATTGAAGCACATTACTTTACTTTCCCCTGGTCTCGTGCTGCCATCTAGTGTTTTTTTCATAAAATAAGCTCTGAACACGCACTTGTGTGAGGGCTTCTGCTGCACATTAGACAGTTCTGGCCTCC